CAAAATGCAACCCACAAACCCTTTTGCTGTTAGGTTGCAGATCTTGTTGCTGCTACTTTCTGCTCTTGCTCTACAAAAGAGACCTTGGACCTGCTGCAAACTCCAGATTTTAACTTTCTTCACCCAAAATTTTCCAAGATTAGGGCTTCAAAAAGCACATATCACATAATCTAGATGGATTTTAARAAACTTACTTAGCAGAAAGAGRAGAAGTGCCAYTTTCTTTAACAGAGCCTTTCTTCTTCTCAAAACCCAAATCAGCTTCAGATCCACCACTCAAAACCCATTTTCCAGAACCATTAATGTTAACATCAGAAAACCCTCTTTTAGCTCCTGACATCAAGTTCTTGGTATGCCCAATTTTGGTGGCATTTTMTTCAGAATTCTTGCTAAATCCAGGYAACCCAAGTCTRAGTTCAGTGGCCTTAAGATTAAGAACATTGTTGGTTTCAGATTCAGATGASATATTGGAGGATTCARAGCTTCTTTGCAAAGAAGAAGCATCTGATAAGCAAATACTATAATATTTGAGAGAACGTACCTAGATACTACCCTTCACGATTGGCGATTGATTCACAGCACGATTATCCCCTTCGCATCTGCCCTTCACGACCACGACGACGACGACTCTACCAGACGACCTAGAAGAACTAGAAGAAACCCAATAATTATATATTAAAAAGGCCCAATTTTAAAAAGACCTAAACCTTAAAGCCCAATAGTTAAAAAGGTTTTAAAATTTAAATTCAAATTAAATAAATAAAAATTATATATTAAAATTAATACATAAACGAACATAAACGAACATAATCGAACATAAACGAACATAATCGAACATAAACGAACGAACGTTCACGAACATAAATGAACGCACGTTCACGAACATAAATGAACGAACGAGACTCTTGTTCATGWTCGTTCGTTTAACTAAACGAACAAAAAATTTTGTTCATGTTCGTTCATTTATTAAATAAACGAACATAAACGAATTTCCCGCCGAACGGTTCACGAACGGTTCGTTGAACGTTCGGTTCGTTTAGAGCCCTATAAATTAGTATCTTACAAATTTAACACCCTAACCATTTCCTTAAAACCTCCCCAACAAAATAGGTTTGGAAGGGGTAAATTGGGAATTTTTGTTCTTAGCCTTCTGGCAAGTGGCAACAACTACAAGATACAAGAACGGTTGAATCCACGGGCACCACGTTGGTCCAAATTCCGTCTGCCACATCAACCGTACATGGCTGCACCACCGTCGCAGTAGCTCCGGTGACGAAGGGCCCGTAAATAACTGGAAAATGGCGACGGCGACACTGATATCCACCGTTAGCATTAATTTACGGCGGCCTGCAACTTTCCAACCGAAGACTCCGTTGTTCTTCAGACGACGAAAAGTGGTCACATTCGACTCCAATTCCAAACCATGGGAGTCGCGGAAAAAGGTTTTGAAGGAGAATTCCTTTTTCTGCGCTGCCTCTCGCCGGAATTCCAGCAGCAACACCGTCACTGATATATCCGTTTCGGAATTAGATGATAACATACGGAAGGTAGTACAATTATTATTGTGGGCCGCGGAGGGAGTCTATATCATCTGGCTGTTCTTGCTTCCCTATGCTCCTGTATGTGTTAATCATTTACCTCAAGATCGTTATATTATTTCTCTTTGATACACCAAATTTGAATAGATTTGGGTATTTTTTAGAGAGCTGAGATGGAATTCCATTTTACTTCCAAATTGATTCTATGGTGATGAACTTAGTAACACATTGCTTATATGCAGGGAGATCCAGTTTGGGCTATTAGTTCAGACACAATTAATTCCCTTGTTGGTCTTTCACTTAATTTCTTCTTCATTCTACCGCTAGCAAACTCAGGTATATCTTCTCTTCTGCTAGCATAATGGATTTGATTTTTCAACTTCTTCCCATATGAGTTTAGATTTATAATAATTCATGTTAAACATGCACCATCAAATGTTCATTTCTCTTTGATCTAATGAAGTACGTTTGCTTATATTGATTCATCATTAGGTTTACTTGAAATCCTGCCAAAGAAGTAGCTTGTAGAAACTTCTTGTTCTAAATTAAATTTATGATATGTTCATAAACATTTTGTTTGTAATTAAATTTGGAACCAAATTTTTTCCGCAAATTCCTTTTCTCAAACCTTTATTCCTCCGGGTACAGGTAAAGTCTGTGTACTTCCTAGCCGCCCAAACCCTACTCCATGTGGTATTCAGCAGGGTTCTTTTGGTTTTATATGCTCATAAATGTTCATATGTGATGCTTGGATGAACAAAGCAATTAGTCACATGCACATAAGTTGTCCTATCTGGTGCCTTTGCTACTGCTTACATTCTTGTTAGTTTCCTAAGATCCTTGCATATGAAGCCAAGGGTTGTCATGGAAATAGCCTCTCTACCCTCGGAGTAGAGATATAGACCTCCGTAGACCCTACCTCCACCGGGTACGTTTGGTTTAGTTTGTAAGCATACACAATCTTGATGTTCCATTATTGTTACATCATACGAAGGCAGGTGCAGTTTGACCAATGAAGTCTAACATTTGAAGTTTAACCTCAAAGTCAAAGTTGATAGAATTAAGATTTTAAAGAAAATAGATAAGCAATTTTAAATTTTCTGGAAATTATTGGTATGGTTCAGTTTTGCAAAGAACATAGGTTTGATGTGCATCTCTTTTCTGCCAAGTTAATTCATGAGTTGGTTTTTGGCAGAGTAGTCGGAATTCGTCTAATCGATGCTCCTGTGCTTCACCCTGTAAGAAAATTTAACTTAACTCCTCCAAAATGTTCATCTCGTTCATCCTTTCTATTATCTTCTTTCTTTCCTTTTGCCACTTCAAATTTATTTACATGAAGCTATTCTGCTTTTCGCCAGATGTCGGAAGGATTGTTCAATTTTGTTATTGGGTGGACGTTTATGTTTGCTCCGTTGTTATTCACTGATCGTAAAAGAGACAGATATAAGGGATCACTTGACGTCTTGTGGGGATTTCAGATGTTCCTTACAAACAGTAAGTTTTTGTTTCCAAACTCACATTTGCACATAATATCACATGGTATCAGAGCCAAGGTTTACCACTCCAGAGACTTGGCACTGTGGAACGATTTGTGCCAGTCTAACCCCCTCTCGACACTCACGGGACAATCTGTACAATAGCCTTAGCCTGCCTTGGAGGGGGCGTGTTGGAGTCCTAAATAGGTAGACTTGGACCATTTGTCCTCTATATATGATGGGACCTCTCTTTTCTCTTCAGTTGCTCTTTTGGATAGTAATTTAATGCGGTTCCACATATCATCTCATGTAGCATTATGAGATTGCCCGTAAATATTAGCATGCATACAAACTTGTCCAATACACAAGGTTTCATGCTCCATCTGGTTGTGGACACCATATGGTTGTAGAGCAAGGTCATCATTGTCTTTATGAAGAGCCAACAATACATATTTTATGAACCAATATGAACTTCATCAAGAACCTTCAAGGCTTCATCAATTTAAAATAAGCAAACCTTAGTTTATCTTTGAAAATAAATCAAATAAGAGAAATTACAGTTTTATATGAGGGGAAGTTGCATGAAAATGCAACGAACTTTTGTCTGATTCCTTTTTTATGTAACATACTTCCAAAACCTTCATTTTAATACCCTTGATGTGATGCCTCAAACATTACCCTAGTTATATTTGAGTATGCATGAAAAAATGCAACATACTTTGGTTTAAAATGTATTGGTGTCTTATCAACCTGGGCATTATTGAGTCAATCACTTTCTTTTATTGCATATTGCAGCATTCTTGATACCTTACATGGCTATTCGATTAAATAAGCCAGACGCTGAGTACACTCCAAGAAAAGCTTCCCAACTTGGTTCGGTTATGGTTAATGGTGCATCGGTAGTTGGAGTCGTTGGTGGGGCTGCATGTCTTATATCAATCTTGTGGGGTCTCTTTGGGCGGTCAGAGGGTGATTTCGGGAGTGTAGCAGATAGATGGGAGTTTGTGGTGAGTTATCTTGGATCAGAAAGACTTGCATATGCCTTCATATGGGATATATGTCTCTATATAGTTTTCCAGCCGTGGTTGATTGGAGAAAACCTTGAAAATGTGGAGAAAGGGAAGGCGAATATAGTGAAATATCTAAGATTTGTGCCTGTTTTTGGGTTAGTTGCTTACCTTCTTTGCTTGGATGTTGATGAAGAGGTGTAACCAACTTCATGATTCTGTATTTAACTTCAATCAATCTTTGCTATCAAGTGTGATGTTGCGTGATGCTAAAGAGTAGAGATGGCCAAAAATGAGTCTAAAGCGGCCTAAATCGGTCGTGGTCAATTTGGCTTTCCGTAACCGGTCCCGGTCTCGGTCCCGACCAAAATACAAATGCCCGGTTCACCTTAGTCGTAACCTGTCCCTCTAACTCAAATTGCTCACAATTATTTATTTTTTAAAATTTGATTTTTTAACATATAAATAATATTTTTTAAAGATTCTTTTAAGAATATAAAAATGTTAATTTGATACACTTTGAAATATGTTACCGGTCAAATAACCGATTCCCGGTCTGGCCGGCCCTATTTGACCATCTTTATGGGATGCTATGGACAAAGACAAAGTTACTAATTTCAAAAAGCCCATATTTGAAGCCCGGTCATGGTCAACCGCCAAGACATTTTTTTCAGTCTCGTTTAAAATGTCCAGATCCGACCCATTTTTACACTCAAAGCTTGGTGGGGCATTTCGGCATTAGTTTTTTTTTTTTTTTTGATAAACCTGGATATCCAACCCGCTATGCGAGTTTACTAATCACAGGACAACCACCTGCTTTACAGATAGTCCGGAGTTACCGCATTTGAACCTCCGTGGCCACAAGGGGATTTTTATTCATTCTTGGATTTGAACATGGGATCTCCTGATACTTTTGACCTTTAAAGCAAAGCTCAAACCAATCAGACACCTCCTTTGTGGTTTGTTTTCTTTTTCTTATTTACTTACTCTGTTAGTATCTACTCCTTAGAGAGAGATTTGATAAGAAAACAGAAAGGAAATCAAGGTTTTTTAAAAAAGAAGAGAAAATTAAAAATATTTATAAAATTCATAAATTACAATTCTATGTGTATGTCTATGTTTATGTTTATATTTATATTTTTTTTTTCCAAGGACATGAAAATTTATTCTTTCTTTTGTTCCCAAATTGGAGGTGTTTGGACTTCGGAGGCTGAAATAGCAAAGGTGTGATAGTGAAGGGTATTTTTCAAAAGTTCCTTCCCAGAAAAGTGCAATTTCTCTTTTTCTCTCGGTACTGCCTGCACCTACGCTCATAATAATACGTTGATTTCGAAACAGCAGGCCCTTGCAATTCTTGATTAAGCTAAGTAGGAACCGCTTTTCTTATCGCTGGTAAGATTCAGATCCGCTCGCTGCATCTCTTTTCTCTGTCAATCTAATCTTTTTGCTATTTGAAATTCGATTATTTGATCCTAATTTGCATAAGTTTATTCTTGAAATCTCGATTGTGGAATCGGTTTCTTGAATCAATTAATCTTGTTTTGGATTTGTTGTTTTAGGGTTAGTTTTAGATCTCATACGTTTAATTTTGATCTAATTTACCTTTCAAATTAAACATTTTTTTTTACTTTTCTTAATTTAAATGATTGGTCTCAAGTCTCAACTAAGCAACGATTAAATGCAATTTATGGCATTACTTATTTTTTATTCTCATATATATATATATATATATATATATATATATATATATATGTACGTGTGTTGTATGTGTTACCTTAGAAGGATTACTGTCAAGTGTCAATGGAAGAATTGATATTTACATTCTAGTTCATAAACATATTAAAGTGGAAAAATATTGGTGTTAAGCTTGCGATCTATATGAGGTCTGCAATTGTAAGTTGCTGGGTTTGATAAATGAAGAAGTCAAACTTTTAATGATTTTTTGGGAGGGAGTATATATTTTAGCAGTATAGATAATATTCCATGTTAATGTAATAGCTGACTTGGTTTGGATTGGACTCAAACTGCAGTGGTTTTGTCAACTGCAATGTCGATGGCTGATGAGCCTTTGTACCCAATAGCAGTACTGATAGATGAGCTGAAGAATGATGATATCCAATTGCGCTTAAATTCTATTAGAAGGCTGTCGACAATTGCTCGTGCTCTCGGGGTGGAACGTACTCGGAAGGAGTTGATTCCTTTCTTGAGTGAAAACAATGATGATGATGATGAGGTTCTTCTTGCAATGGCAGAGGAGTTAGGTGTGTTCATTCCATATGTTGGAGGAGTGGAGTATGCCAATGTGTTGCTACCTCCTCTGGAAACCCTCTGCACTGTGGAGGAAACCTGTGTGAGGGAGAAAGCCGTGGAGTCTCTATGCAGGATTGGATCACAGATGAAGGAGACCCATTTGGTTGATTTTTTTGTACCACTGGTTAAGGTTGGTTTTGTTGCTAAGTAATTTACTTGGTTCTGTTTCATTTCCATTTTAGAGTTCATAGTGCTTTCTATGCCTGTAGAGGCTGGCAGCTGGTGAATGGTTCACTGCACGGGTATCTGCTTGTGGACTGTTCCACATTGCCTATCCTAGTGCCCCAGAGACCTTGAAGGCAGAACTGAGATCAGTGTATAGTCAGTTATGTCAAGATGACATGCCTATGGTTAGAAGATCTGCTGCTACAAACTTGGGGAAGTTTGCTGCTACTATGGAACCTGCTCATCTCAAAACTGACATCATGCAAATATTTGAGGATCTTACGCAGGATGGTTAGTTGTTCTTCCATCATTGGTTATCTGCTTGCAGTTCTAGCTTTTAGGTTCATTATTCACTGAAATGGGATATGTGTGCATGGTATATTTCGTTGCAAAAGACAGTGGTAGTGTCTCATCACCTTGTTTTAGAACAGTGCAATGGTAGATAGAACGAGCTACTTTTGTTACAATTTTTGTGAATATCTGTAGCTAACAGCAATTCCTCGATCTATTATAAAGATTCGGTAGTTGGAAAAGGGAAATCAATCCTACACAAGTATTAGTCAATCCTCAATCCTGTTGGTGAGAACATGTGTAAAATTTCTGTCCTTTTGTGGAGATAGTTGAGTCGTTGACAACTACTTGAATTGGCAGATTACTAAAAGAACTTATCTGTTATTCTAAAATTTCATTGGTAACCAAGAGACAAAAAGTCCCGATTAATTAGTCTTTTCTCAAAACTATCGCACTAGCCATGAAAGCAACCATGTAAGGATTTCACGTTTTTTTCCTTGGACTACTGTTTGCACCCTACCTTGTATACAAGCACACATCTTCTCTTTTTTTTGGGTTATTTTTTTTTGGGAGGGGGGGGGGGGGGAGGGTGGAAACTGATTCCGAGTTAGCATGCATCGTCTTTGCTCTAGATGACCTTGGTTACATGGTTACGTGGTCATGTTGGTAATCTCAAAATTTTCAGCAACGTCAAGATCCAACATACACAGTTATAAGAAAGGTCAATAGGAAGGAAGATCAGGGAAGAGAGGTCTGAATCGGTGCAGTATCTATATATAGGAGGCTGGTTTTCTCATTTACTCAAGTTACATGTCTTTGATTTTAACTAAGCTGATACATTTTTCGGTTAGGCAATTTCCCAAGTGTTACAGCCCTATAGTTCTTTCCATGTCGGTCTTGCTTGGTGACTACAAAAGGATTAAAGACATTCTCTTTATTGCTCTTAACCATGGTGAAAGTAATTTGGCCTTTGCATATCTATTGGTTCTGGTTGAATGTATTCTGATGCCGACACATTCATGTGATAAATCTGTTTTGGCTGAAGTCACAATATATACATTTCTAGCAGACAGTTACCAGGGGTTTACTTGAATGTGCCTAATATTGTTAGAGTTGTGCCTACTCATTTATTTTGTCTAGCTTACAGGTTTTACTTCCCTGTCATTGATTGTTCTTATTTGATATAATATCTCTTGTTACAGACCAAGATTCTGTACGTTTACTAGCMGTTGAGGGTTGTGCTGCTCTTGGAAAGTTGCTAGAGCCCCAGGACTGTGTTGCACATATTCTTCCTGTCATTGTCAATTTTTCTCAGGTACATTTTTAATTGTACTTTCTAGAGTAATGATTTTATATTTTACCAACTCCTGCATTATTCCTGGAGGATTTTCTTTTCAATTTCTACAGGGCACAGTATAATAGCCAAAAACTTCATTTCATAAACAACTATCGTCTAGTTTTTAAGTGTTGATGGTTATCTTAATAAGTTTTCAGATTATCTATATGGTTTCGTATTCGTGAAATGATATTTGACATCTGATCTGTTTCTTTCTTGAGTTGTAAGTTGTTAATGGAATGATGTTGGAGGAGCTGTGGCTAACTGACTTTTGACTGGTAGTTAATAAGTTGGTTTTGTTAAGGAGTAGGATAGTGGTCTATTGTTGTACATGTTATCAATTTAGAACTGTAAAGTAATTCATAATGAGGATAAGCTGGTTCATAATTTAAGATGAAAATATAGTTCCTATCTAGATATCTATAAACAATTAGTAAGAATTCTGTGCTATAAAAGAAGAGTAAAGTACACTGCTTGCCACCAGACTTGTATTTTTATTACTTTAGCCATTCAAGAAAATAACTTTCACATTCGGTTACTGGATGCTCAAATAGTACCAAAATAACCCTGCCATTAGTTTTTAGCCGTTTAAAGGCCCATGTGCCTCACATATTATTCTTCAAGGGTATTTTTGTTGTTTTGCATTCATCTCTTTCTTCATTCTTCACCATCATCTTCATTATCTCTTTTTCAAACCAAAAAGAAATCGAAGATTTTGACCAAATCAAATATTATATTAACCCAAACATCAAATTAACCAAACTAAATCCAAAATTAAATACAAGTGAAATTAACCCTTAAAAACTTCAAATATATTCACTGGCATTTTTCTTTCAAGTGTAATTCTTTTTCTTGATTTGCAATGCATTATCATGACTTTTTTTTAAAACGCCATTGGAAAATTCTTTGATGGGGTCAATGAATCAACCAAATGCTCCATCCCTTTTCATAACAGAGTAGTCATAAGAAAACCCAGATGGACCGCCAATTGCTTCTACTTGCACCTCCCTAATGACTAGTTCAAGGACCATGACAGGGACTTCAGCACACTTGGTGGACTTAGCCAAACTTAGAGACATAGCAGCTATGGAGGCGTTCTTTGCAAGCTCTTCGCCACCATTTCCTTATTGAAGATGTACCACATCACCATAAATAAAATGGATAGACTAACCAAACCGAGGGATTAAGAAATTTATTCGCTGGAGAAACTATTAATGGAAGCAGAATCCACAAACAAATCGACCGAAAGGAAGCTCAATTCAAGCAGATGTTTCCTGCTCTTTGGACAACATGAATCCATTGGATCTAACTCTAACAAACTTCATCAGTCTTACATCACTTAAGATCTATACAGGACTTGGTGAAGCTAAGATCCAGGATATTCTTGAGATATTCTGGCATGAAAGCAATTGAACCAAATGAAAATTTCCCTAAAGAGTTGTAAATGCTTCACTTTTGAACCATATATTATTCTTGAGATATTTAAAGATTTCAATGTTTGAATCAGACGAAAACAAAAGAAAAGATTCTAAGCATAGTTCAGTCTGTTATTTTCTTCTTTGGTTCCATACATGCAAAGAGAAAAGGAAAAAAAAATCCTTGATGAAGCAAGAGAGCATTTCATATTACTTTCCAGCTCTGTTAGAGATAGAGCTAAATCTGCCATCATGTTGGCATGATATTAGTATGTCTCTCTAGTTAGAGCTCTGTGTCTCTACTCATAGCCCACAATGTATTCTATATATTGATGTCTTCTTCTCAATGAAGATACACACTTTCTTCATATTATTTGTACATGTCGCTTTCTTTCTGGATATCTGTTGTTTTAAAAAAAAAATTCTCCATTCATTCCTTTCTTCCTTTAACTTACTTTTTTGAATGGCATCTTCTAAATCAGGACAAGTCATGGCGTGTTCGGTATATGGTAGCTAATCAGCTATATGAACTATGTGAAGCTGTGGGTGCTGAACATACCAAGTATGTTCGTATTTGAAGTATTGTTTGATCTAATATGTCATTATGAAAGTTGCCATGCATATTTCTAGCACAAGTGCTGAATGGGAAGAGCTTGTATTTATTCTCTTGTTTCTTTTTTGAAGTATAAAATATTTATACACGGCAAATGGCCCTTGGCCTAGAGGTATCATAACCTTTGGCCTCCTAGGAGGTCAGGGGTTCAAACCGCACCATAGGTGAGGAGGGTGTGTGAGTTTATTTGTTGCATTTGCCGTATATAAATATTATATACTTCAAAAAAAAAATTAAGTCACACACACTCACATTTGGCGAGGCTTGAGCCCTTTGTTTCAGTTCTTTCTGATCATCTCATTTCAATTACACTAATCTGTAACTACTATTTGCTGTCCTTTCAAAATGTTAAAATTTCAATGGCTGGCTGGTTTTGATAGGTTGGAGTTGGTTCCAGCATATGTCAGGCTACTTCGAGATAACGAGGCTGAAGTACGTATTGCAGCTGCTGGAAAGGTCACCAAGTTCTCTAGGATTCTTAACGCCGAACTTGCACTTCAGCATATTCTTCCATGTGTGAAGGTGTGTTGTTCACTAAATGCCTTTCTCTCTCATCTCACTCTCACACATGACACACCCAGACTCTTGTTCATATGGTGGCTGAGTTGGTTAAATGCTATTGATGAGAATAGTAGTTTACTATTCTTGCCAATAGTTCATGGAGACTTTGCTATTGCTTTGAACTGATGTACAACTACGTTGATCGATCCTTGTATTCAGATATCTTACTTCTTCTTCCAATGACATGTAGGAATTATCATCAGATTCTTCTCAGCATGTTAGGTCTGCTCTGGCCTCTGTTATAATGGGCATGGCCCCAGTTTTAGGAAAAGTAAGGATTTCATATATTTGTCTTTGCAAGATTGGTTATCTTGATGAATTTATTGTTGCACAAATGTCTTGTTTATTCTGCGTGAAAACAGATTTTTTTAACCTCTTATAAAGAAATGCATTTCTTTTATGATCTACACATGTTCCATTGGTATTGCGAGTGTCGAATTGAACTTTTAAATGTTTGCTAGCAATGCCATTTTATGATATATACTTAGTTTGAATTAACATTGATGTTATAATGAGAACCTTGGTCTGGAATGATTCTGATCTTTAATATGTTCCTTGGTGCAATACTATAAGGACACACTATGTTCTACTATCTATTGGCTACTGCCCTAAGGACTTGGGCATAAACTGTTTTGGTAAAAGTGAACAGCATTTTCCAGGCAATCAACTAACACTAAGAACAATCTCCAGTGTCCACCAGCTCTGCCACCCATTTGACCACCAGCTACCACTACCAGATCGGTGAGCCTGCTGGACATAAGGAGGCATGTCCGACTACTCCTGTTCCCTTTCGGTAACTCCTATTCAGTGATGACTGTTGGAGGGCAACAATGATGAATTAGTCGTGTTTCATTTTCTTCTTTTTATTTTAATTGCTATCAAAGACCAGAAAATGAAACCTGTTCCAAAACGAACGTTAGCCTAAGTGACCAGTCTACTTGCTTCATGCTTTCTTGTTTCTCATTTGCTAGTCAGTATTGAAATCAGCTCTGTCTAACCTTCAATTAACAATTATGCTGGGTATAGTGTGTTGGTGTAGGAACTATCTTTTTGGTTCTTATATGCTCAAGGTCATGGAGTAGCATATTTGACTACTTTGACTCTGATTGTCTTTCTTGTTTTGCTATCACTGCTCTGTTTTGCTTCTACCTGGAGTTCCATGTGTGAGGGAGTGGAATTGCGTGTATCAACACTTTGGCCTTCTATTTTTTGTCAATCAGTCCTATTTTGCTATCACCATGTCAGTTCCTCGTGTTTATTACTTCTGTAATTTGTTTGAGTGGAAACCAAGCTATACGTTTTTGTTTATTGCACATGACTTTTTGAAATGTCAGCCTTTATATATTCCATATCAGCCTTGTATTCTTCTGTCTCTAAGATCTCACATAGGAGTTGATGTTTTGATCTATTGTTTGGTGGTAAATTGCAGGATGCAACAATTGAACAACTCCTTCCTATATTTCTTTCGCTTTTAAAGGATGAGTTCCCTGATGTACGCCTCAATATTATCAGTAAGCTAGATCAAGTGAATCAGGTATACATTTTTTTCCTTATTATGATTCAATGTGTATATTTTTTGCATGTCTGGTATTTTTAAGGATTACTTTCAAAATGATAGCTAATGATGGTATTATGCTTGGAACACTAAGGGAAGTAAAACGTAGCACACTGGATATGTGGTTATCATGGAAATGAATCATGCTAACAGTGAAGGCCAAGCAAGAAGCAAGTTTTTGTTTTACTCTTTCTCTCTCTCCCCTAGCCAAACAAAAATTATTCTTTTGTCAATAATTTTCTACATGCTTCAGTTTTACTTCTAACATTCCACGAAGTTGAGTTTTTATCCTTGGATCCAAGGGAATTGGTTACCCCTAGAATCAATGCAGATAATGTCACTTGCATCCAATATTTAGCAGTACAATGTTCATTTTGTTCGTTTTTATTTGTTCAGCATAGCTTTTATCTTCAGTTTCACCCATTGGGTTTTATTGTTATCCTAGCTCCAATTAGTTTGTGATAAACTGCTTGTTTTTGTAGCTTCTATCAGTCAATGAAAGAACATGTTTTCATCCATAAGTTAATCCCTTCCACCCCCGGGAAAAAAGCAAGATTTCTTCTTCATGGTATTTTATCCAATCATTCTCATGTTAGCTGTTCATGCAGGTTATTGGAATCGATCTTTTGTCTCAATCTTTACTACCAGCAATTGTTGAACTTGCGGAAGACAGGCATTGGAGAGTTCGACTGGCTATAATAGAATACATACCACTATTGGCTAGTCAATTAGGTGTAGGATTTTTTGATGATAAGCTTGGTGCTCTCTGCATGAAATGGTTACAGGACAAGGTTAGTACTTCCCAGCCTTGATACACACACACGGAGAAACATGATATGTTATTTTCAGCTTCTATTTCCTTAAACAGTGGTGTCTGTTCTCTCCTTTTTCATGGGGAGCATTGGGGATTTATTTCATCCTTATACTCATTTTGATTCAAGATAGTTCAATCTGAATCAAATAACCAAATATCAAATCAATTAAATTAATCATGGACTTGAAGGTGGTGTCTGGGATACATACAATGATAGAAATAGTGATTGTTCCAATGAAGTGGTTACAGCCTTATAGGTTACTCTGATTTTAAAACTCTACATGCTTCTGGATAGGGCAAAAATTCCATTATGATTTTGCTTGAGTTTTTATTTGTAGTCTCGGCAAAATATTACTAGTCTGGGAAAATTTTATTGTGCCGTATGTTCTTTTCTTTTTCCTTCTTCTTTTGTGAGAAGATGATAAGTCGCTGCACAAGTTTTCAGCAGCGAGCACCAAATGTGCATGCTTGAGATCATTCACAGAATACAACTATTTCATGTAACACTTATATGCTGCAGGTTTATTCCATTAGAGATGCTGCTGCTAACAACTTAAAGCGACTTGCTGAGGAATTTGGTCCGGATTGGGCAATGCAGCACATTGTTCCACAGGTCTGTCTCATGGCTGCCATCAAATTGCTTGCAGTAGCTCATTATCTTGGAAATCCTGCTAAATACTAAACCCTTCACTGCGATTTTGAATGTTCTAGGGTGGACCTGTATTATTTTTTCATGCATAGTTTTATGATCTCAAAGCATCTGTCAATGGTCCATTGATCCCAGATAGACACACTATAGTTGGGGTATTTGGGTTGAAAAGTTGGTAGGCCCTAGCTTGGGTCATGGCTCACGAAACTTGGACAACTGAAGCACAAGCTCAACTCTTTATACGCTCAAGCCTGGGCTTGGCTTGTATGGTACTTAGATAAGCTTGTATAAAACTAAAATAAGACTGCTCAGATGAAATTATATTCAAACTATATTTGAAAATATTACAATTAATTATAAATTACACCAAATGGCTATGAACTTGTGCACGCTCAGTTCGATAGAGCTTGGTTTCTTTAGGCTCCAAAACTGCCAAGCCCGAGTCATAGCCTTCTCAAGCTCAGCTTAGATGATAAAGTCTTGACCCGACTTGTGCAAGCTTTTTGGCAAGAGGTCTTGTCTGCCTACCCTCCTAGATATGGGGTTGCCTGCATTTTCAACTAATGCTGATTCAGTTTGTCTTCGCGGAAACAGCCCCTCTACTCTTTGCAGTAGAGGTCAATTAGACCCCACCTCCTGGTGGGATATACTGTTCTCGTTTGGTTTGGTTTGCTCATTCAAGTTGTGCACTGCAACACCAATTTGATTTTTTTCCCTTCTAAATTACATATTGTTTTCTTGGCAGGTCTTAGATATGATTAATTAGACCCCACCTCAGGGTGGGATATACTGTTCTCGTTTGGTTTGGTTTGGTTTGCTGATTCAAGTTGTGCACTGCAACACCAATTTGATTTTTTTTCCCTTCTAAATTACATATTGTTTTCTTGCCAGGTCTTAGATATGATTACCAACCCGCATTACTTATATCGTATGACTGTTCTTCGTGCTATTTCTCTACTTGCCCCTGTTATGGGGTCAGAAATCACTTGTTCTAAATTGCTTCCCGTGGTTGTTACCGTCTCCAAAGACAGGTAGATGCATTTCTTGAAGTATATCTACCTTTTCTTGCATTTCTTTTCCCTGTTCATTACTTATTTACATTAAATTGCGTTTTCAGAGTGCCGAATATCAAATTCAATGTAGCAAAGGTCTTGCAATCCCTAATTCCCATTGTTGACCATTCTGTAAGTTGCTTCTTACCTGAATAAATCTATTTGAAAACCATCAAATGTAATTAGCGTGTTTGGTGACCACAAGATCTTATTGAAAATACCCTGTTTGGTAAGTCATATAAGCTAGCTTTTTGAGAAGCCTACTTGAGACGACTTATTGGGTTTTTTTTTCTTCATTTTTTTTTCTAAATATGCCCCTTGTATATTTTTTCTAGGTCATTGTGCATTGTCATCTAGTTTATCAACTAGTTTTTATCAAACATGATTAATTTACCAACCTATCGGCTAACAGCTAGCTTGTCAAACATAGCCTTAGGCTCGCCATTAAGAATATATGCCACCAACTCATCTTTTATGTAACTGTAAGAATATATGGAACCCTAGATTAGTTTCCAAAAGAGCCCAACATATACCGAAGAGAATAGGTCCAAATCTAACTGATGTGTGACTCTAACAATATCGTTCCATGGTCATATTGGAATTGCCTTCACCTTCTCTGTCAAATCTTGTTATGCACACATGAATTGTGTTAATTTGTCACCTTTGTAATACAGGTCGTTGAGAAAACCATTCGGCCATGTTTAGTTGAGTTGTCTGAGGACCCAGACGTTGATGTCCGTTATTTTGCAAACCAAGCACTTCAAGCAATCGATCATGACATGATGTCGAGCTAGAGAAAGTTAACGTTGAATTCGCCTGATTTTTTGTTCAGATTGACCTACAAAGGTGCTTTTAGCTTTACAGTTGTTATTTGATTCACCTCTGTTCCGATTATTAACCATCTTTAGTTGTAATTATCTATTTCATTTTGTGGGTCTTTCTTCGATAAACAAATACCATACCCACACAAAAACATGGTAATAACGTATATTTAGATCGTCATGAATGTATGAAAACAGTTGTTATGTTCGGATGCCTTGTGAGCTCTTTCCGTTACGGATGGATTTAGACGTATCTATAAATCAAGTTATATTTTTACGAGGGATTTTGATTCTGTATGATTTATTATGTTACTTATTACTCTCTCCGTCTCAAAATAAATGTCCACAAATAAAAATGATATATAGTTGTAAGAATGTGAAAGTTATTGCATTTTTCTTTTATTAACCTGGATATCCAACCCGCTATGCGAGCCGAATAATTCCAGGGCGACCACCTGCTTTGTAGATAGTCCGGAGTCACCGCATTTGAACCTCCGTGGCCACAAAGGGATTTTTATTCCTACTTGGATTTGAACCTGGGACCTCCTGGTACTTTTGATTTTTGGAGCCAAGCTCAAACCAATCAGGCACCACCCTTGTGGTTAAGTTATTGCATTTTTTTTAATTAAGTAAACGATAATTTTGAAATTGAACGCCTAATTTGAAACAAACTAAAATAGAACTGTAAACAGACAGAGAATACTTTTCTTTCTATCACTAATTATCTATGTCGCCTATACTGACATGCTCAATGGTTCGGACCGTGTGGTTTGTTTTTGTTTTTTGTTGTGCTTGTGGTGTTTGAAAAGAGTATGTAGAGTTTGAAAATGTCAGTTTAGATCCTTTCATATGTAAACCATACAATCATCACAAATTTTTCTTAACTATGGATATATTTATATGTATCTCGACTAATCTTATAAGACATTGAACTTAACAGTCAGACAAATCCTTTGATGGTCTTGGAGATGCTTTTGTTTCGGGAGTATAATCATAAAAGCAAGCACATAAACAATTACAACAATACAAAGATAGAGATGTCTACTGAACTTGGTTAGTCTTTTTTTTTTGCTCGAGACCTTTTCTGAGACACCATCTATAATGTATGTATTTTTTTTATGGTATAACATAAAGCTTCGATAATGATATTGTGATAACATTTTCTTTTTCTTCTAAGATAAAAGAAATCGAGTGCACGTATATTAAAAAAACAAGTAGGCTTAATGGATATATATTTATTGCTAAGAGTATTCATAATGGTGGAATCTTCAAGAACCTCGTTTTCTATATTTTTTCCGTCATGTCATTTTCTGTATTTTTTTTCTCTTTATTCCATCATTCCATGTCCCTGCGAGTATTTTAAACACACTTGAGAGAGTGAGAAGAGAGTTTTTCTAGGGTGGCTCGGGTGGGGGAAAGATGTATTGATTTAGGTGGAACAAAACTTTGTATCATCTTGAAATGGGAGGTTTGAGGATAGGGGGTCTAAAAGCAATAAACTTGGCCTTATTAGGGAAATGGTGGTAGTGTTCCTTGACCGAGAAACATCCTTATAGGCATCTACAATAGCTAGCCTGTATGGCGTTGTGGAAGGATTGAGTCGGGTAGCGAGGGGAAATTCTAATTGCAAAGGGGGTCTGTAGGGAAGTATCATTATGGGCGAGATATAAATGCTCTTGGTATGGATTTTACCTCATCCTTTGTTAAAGAAAACTTGGGGACAGGTCGAGTGTATCCTTTTGGCTAGATCACTGCATAGGTGACACCCTACTATGTGAAGGTTATCCAAGATTATATAGTTTTGAATCGAATAGAAAAGTCTTGGTTAGAAATAGGGGTCAGTGGTCTGATGATGGTTAGCAATGGTCTTGGGACTGGACTAGATTTTCGAGAGGTCAGACTCTAGGGGAACTTACTAATTTGCTTTCTTAATTACAATCTCAAAAGCCTTCGTAGGACCGCAAGGACAAATAGTGGTGGAGTTTAGACGATAATGGTGAGTTTTCCACCAAGTCTCTAAAGATCCAAATTGAGGAAAAGTGGCTCCAAAATGGTGGCAAACCCCCATCAATGGAACAAATTGGTGTTGAGAAAAGAGAATATATTTGTGTGGCGAGCATCTCAGGGTCGAATTTCAGTTCGCAGAGCTTTGGATAAGTGTGTCATGGACTTGCATTTAGTCATGTGTCCAATTTGTGATAAAGCAGTCGAATCTGTAGATCAATTCATCGTCGAGTGCACGTTTGCGGCCAAAATCCAAACTTAGTTCGAGATTGGTGGGGACTGAACAAGGAGTTGCAATTCAGAACAACCGATCTTCTTTCATCATCATAGATCCACACATTTCTAACTGTGGGTGCAACGCCTCTTGTAAGACACGTATTTTATGGGCATACCTTTAAGATTGATGTACTGTAATGAGCCTTTAGAGATCATATCTTGAGTAGGGCTGAGCAAAACCCGAAAAACCCGCCCGAAGAAACCCGACATCGAACCCGAAATAATCGCCCGAACTACCCCGAAGTCCGAATCCGAGATTTATATCGGGTATTGTAGGATCGGGTAGGATCCCACGATCCATCACCCGAACCCGCCCGAAACCCGATCTCATTAGGCCTTATGGATTAAGTTGAGATGTTGGGCTTGGGCCTTTGATATGTAAACGGGCTTGCTTAGTAGTAGCCTACGGTAGAGATGGCCAAAAACCGGTCCCAGGCCGGTCCCAATCGGTCCTCACCATTCTCATAACCGGCCATAACCGGTCCCGGCGTAACCGGTCCCGGTCTCGGTCCCGGTCCCGGTCGAAAATTATAGGACCGGTATAGGTACTTTATAACCGGTTATGGGCCGCCGGTCCCGGTCCCGGTCCCAACCGGTCCTTCATTAAAAAAATAAGATTTTTTATTTTATTTTTTTAATGATATATATTTTTAATACATTATAAAATTTACAATTGGGTCACTCAAATACACTTTAAAAATGCGTTTTAATATAATTAAAATTACGTTTTCTTATAAAAATACATTATAAAATTATTTAAAAATACATTTATTTATAAAATTAATTGAATTTTCGGGCCGGGCCGGGCCGGTCCATAGTCGGTCCCATAACCGGTCCCGGTCGGTCCCGGTCCCACGAAACTACCAAAAACCTCAACCGGTCCCGGTTTTCGGTCCCATAACCGGTCCTTACCGGTCCAGGTCCCGGGCCGGTCCTTTGTCGGTCCCGGTCCCGGTCCTCCGGCGGTCCCGGGCCGGGCCGGGCCCATTTGGCCATCTCTAGCCTACGGTAGGGCAGTCATCGGCTCATCGCATACCGTCTTCCACTCTTCCTCTTGCGACTACGATACGACCTTCGTCCGACTACTACTGCCGCAGCCGTACCCGAAGACCGAAGTGCAAGATTCCGACCGCCACCTGCCGTCCGACTACGAGAGCTTCTTGGATGCAAATGCTTTATATGGTTGTATTGATTCCGAACTCCAAAGTGTAGCTTGCTCTTATGAACTCCAAAAGCTCAGCAGATTTACAAAATGAGAGCTATAGCCATATTATGTAAAGTTTTCTGGGATATTATAGGTGCTGCCATTGGGCTTGATTTTATTCTTTAGGTTCATAAAATTTTACACTTGGGTTATACTTATACACAATGCATTGATCACTTAGCTGCATATTGGTTTGTCTTTGTAAATCCTCAAACCCGATCTTCCCCGAACCCGACCCGAAAATCCTCAAACCCGATCTTCCCCGAACCTGACTACCCACGAACCCCGAACAATGTACTTCGGGGTATGTCTTTGTAAACCGAAACCCGATCGGGTTACCCATTTTTGGGCCCGATCCGATCCGACCCGTCCGATGCTCTCCCCTAATCTTGAGTGGCTTTGGGCCTTAAGAGCTTATGGTACGGGCCAGTTCTAGTAGAGAAAAGTGAAATCGGGAACAAAACAGATTTCTCGCTACTAGGCCACAGGAAAAGCCACACAACTCTTTGTTTCAACAAAACGGGTTGCGAGCGACTTACCATGCGACTAAGGTCGCGGAAATGCCCAGATCGGGTTTTAAACCCTATTTTTTAGCTAGGGTTTGTCCATTGCACTTCAATCCTATCTCATTTTGGGCGCTTTTTGGGAGTTGTTGGTAATACTTTTGGAGCTTTTTGAGGAGATTCAACTTGGATATTTCAAGGGATTGAGCCTAGATCTTGCAAGTTTGAAGAGGTAAGCATTATAAGATCTATATTTGGGTTTTTGGTGGTTTGAAACTAGAGTTAATGTGTGGTACTTCTTTGGCTTGGACAATAGTTTTGGAGATGGGTTTGAAATCTAGGTTTAACTTAACCTAGTGAGGTGAGTTCAAGTTACTTTGTAAAAACTATCTATATGCCAAAATGTGTGTTTTAAAATATTAATGTTTTTTACTTGATATTTATCAAATGTGATGAGTATTTGATGAAGTACGCATATTTGGTAAACTTGAGTCAACAAATCTTGTAAAACACTTATGTTTGGGTTTTTAGGTATTTTGATGAATAAATCTCCAAAATGTACCTTTGGTGGTTTATTGTACAAATGGATATTCATTTGATATTAATGTATTTTGATGTATTTGATTTTATTAATTGTTGTGAAATGCATGTTATTGTGTTATGAGACATTTTGGAGATAATAAGATATGATTTCATTTGGAAATGGTTTGTCTCAATGGGTTTGTGGGTTAATCATTTCCTTGGAGCATGTATTTGCATAAACATTAGTCAAATATGTTTCATTCCTTTCGATTACTTTTATTTTATAGTCAATGGAATTATTAAGCATTTGGCTCGGTTTTGACTTCAATGGGTCTTGGGGACATTTGTCCGATTTAATTTGCTTTATGATGGGCTTTTGGGGTTATATGTGGTTATGACATATTTATTTGATATATTACACATTTTGTGCACGTTAGTCATTCAATTAGTGTCGTGTAATTTTAGACTGTAATACAATGGATCCATAGGCATGAGAATCGTTTTATGGAATATATAAGGGATGAGAATCTCTATTTCTAAATTGGAAATAGTCATTGTGATTATTATGTAATTTCCAAGTTAACAAGCTTATTATCTCAATTGACTATAGATTGGATTTGGTTGATGTCACTGGTTATTATCTCATTCAACTATAAATTGGATTTGGCTGATGTCAATGATTAATT